AGCGACAGTTTCAAAGATGGTAATACAGACATATCTTATTTTTTAAATAATCAGTAACACAGGCATACATTATCGCAATACATGAAATGTAAATTTTTCCACACCTGAAGATTGGCATGACTTCCTCGTTTAAATACCCACTCGAAAAAAATTGCTTCCTTCCCTTGCTTTTTGAAGTAAGCTCTGAAGCTGTTTTGAAGATGTTCCAATTCCTTTTCACATTCTTGTGGAAGAGATAATGTATTGGGCGTATGTTCAATGGGCATAATCAGTGAATGATCTGGTAATAAAGGTCCTTTAGCAAGTGCACAGTAGTAATATTCTCCAACACTAGTGATGAGATGTGACTCAACATTCGGGCTTGACAAACAAAACCAACATTCTCTAGATCTGAAAAGTGAAAGTTCCCACAACAGCCAGATTTTATCATGTAAAGAAATAGGAAGTATTAATGAAGGCTCACAAAGTGACACACCAAAGCCATCACGAAAAAACAAGTAGTAGTTCTATAAATATCAACCTGTTAGAGCTTGCTGCACCAGACGCTGATCTGCCACCTTCTTCCTGCAAACTGTGCTTGAAGTTGCAATCAGGACCTCTTTCACATTTTCCCTTGTTGAGAAAGTCAAAACACACACCACTTGAGTACTGCTGCATAGCTTCTTCATCATGCCTAAAGTGGCACTTCTCTCTTGGACAAGAGCCAGAAGAGACAAATTTAAAGCAGAGTCTGTCACCATTACCATCTCCATGTTTCTGCCTTTTCTGAGATACATCATATCTCCAATACTGTGACTCAGGCGTACTATCACCGGGCCTCTTCGTTGCTCCATCATGTGGGGCTGCTTTGCCAACAATGGTATATGGAGATAAAGTAGTGTTTGGTGGCTTTGCACTAAGTTCAGTTTTCGACATTGTTGATGCCGGAGTGGGGGATATTGCATGAATAAATTTCTGCAAAGCATTCATGCATAAAATGAGGATTCAAAATGATAAAAAAGGAATGAGGTAGACCTAAAATAATATGGAGAGAAGTTGTCTTTAAGGACCTATAATCTCTTGGAATGAATGCAGACTTAGCTAGAAGCTAAGAACACAACACAATAGAAGTAGAGGATGCATTTGCACAATATCAACTAGTTGAGATTAAGGTTTTAGTTCTCATTGTTACAGTGATATCAAGTCCAGCATTTGAAAGCAGATGTCTCTCATTTTGTCAAAGACTTGTATGCCCATTGAAGGATAAGTGTGAAATTCTAGGAAACTTCCTAGTTTTGAGATCTATTACTTGCCTTAATTAATTTCTGATAATGACATTTGAAAACTTGCAAACTACATAAGAATTTTAGATCTTAAGTGTTTTACTATAGCATTTTGAGAATATGAAAATAATCAACAAGTTTGACCCTAAACGTTAAACTGTGTTGCAAAGTAATGAGAGAGAGAGAGAGAGAGAGAGAGAGAGAGAGAGAGAATGCGTGTCTGTGTGTTAAAGGGCGACACAGCCACTGAAACTAGAGAAATAATAATGTTTGGTACAGCATTCTCGATATGTAATAGAACTGCTTAGGAAGCAGAGATAAGTTTCAGAAGCAGGAAATTTAAATCAAATATCAAAGGTTGTAATACCTGTTTATCTTTGTTTCCAACAGGAGCTAAGCCCAGAAAGCGAGTTACGTGTAGAGCATCAACATTAGCATATGGTTGACGATCAAAGTAT